CGGACTTAAAGGCTTTTGCAGTGGCATTTGGTCCCCTGTATGACTTTACTACGAATAAACGCGATTTGTCTGGTCACATCATTGCCGACCTTTTAGAAACAGCCTCTTGCAGAAGTGACTTCAGGGAGACAGGTTGCCGTTCCACTGTCACAGCTGAGATAGGTGACTGCCGAGCGCGTAACATTGCTGATGTCCTTGGAGTTAGTGCCTCTCTCCGGGATGGGAAACTCCTGGCTTTTCAAGGACAGGGCAGCTTGTGCTCATTTTTAAGAAGTTGCTGGTAACTCTGACTTAGATTTAAAGTGGACGCAGTGATTCTTCACTGAGTTTTAGGAGCCTCTAATTTCCGAAGAGTCCCCTCTGCCTCTGCCTAGGCACAGCACCGGCGGCGGAGCCCGACTCTGCCAGGTGTGGTCAGCGGCATCAGGCCTGGCTGAAGAGTTCAACGTTTTCACGTGATTTTTCACAGCTCTTCGGCAGGGCAGGCTGACAACAGCTTGCAGTGTCACTGCTGGACTCTGACAAACTGGAAACCATCCTTGTTTTTTTCAAGATTTTAAGCAAAAACGTTGTAGCAATATGTATTTATCATATTTAATACAATATGTACTATAAATGGTGTATAATATATAAATATATGTACATTTACATAGCCATCTAAATAAATCTGTATAAACTCATAGCATCCCTGTTGCTAGTGCTTTTCATTATCACTGGTCTTAAAAGAATCTTAGAATAAATGAAAACTGTCATGAAGAAACTACAAACAATTTATTTCAAATGTGCTCTGACTTCTCTAGACAGGTTTTTGTTTCAGACTAAGTGACCTTCATGCAGCCTTGTAATATTATTTAATTCCCAACCTGACATTCTATTACCACCTTCACTCAGCTCCATATATCCCTTATCCACAGTGATGTTTTAACAACTTCACATGTTTAATAGCAGGTTTGTGAACAAGGCTTTGCAACACTTCTCCTTGGAGAGATGGATCCAGGCATGGAACTTATTTAGGGAAGGAAAGTCACACTTTGCTTCCACATGTGACTTGGCTGGGTCACACTGACAGATTTGGTAGCCTTAAACCTGAAGGCTTTAAAACATTAGTCTGCCAAAATACAATGAATTGTGATATACTTCATGTGTTACCCCTGCAGTGTCATAACAATACCCATTTTTTACTGCACCAGTAGTCCCCATCTCTTAAGCCACTTGTCCCTGCCCTTCTGCCCTCTCCTCCATTACACAGACACGTTATATTTGTGTGGCTACAGGATGAATTGAATCAGAAAACTGACTGTTTGGAAAAGAATGAGTCAAAAAAAAAAAGAGATTATTTTCCACCTGGATCAGGACTAGTTTCCTGACCGGATAAATGCTGTAGCCTACTACGCACTCGTACCTGACCAATGGAGGGGGTGATGCAGGGGCAGTAATAAGAAATCAGCAGTTGCTTAAATTGGCACTTCTGCCCAAAAAACGCCTGCTGAGTGGTAGCCATGGTGACAGGGAGGGGTACATCGATTCTGTTCCCTGCTCGCTGTGTCCCTCCTCTGTCAGACCGCTCCTGTCCTCACTGCTGGAACGGCTCGCTTGCTTGTGAAGCACCTGCTGAAATATGTGCACGTTGCAGCTCAGCGTATTCAGAATAAATAAAATCTGTGCCAGTTTACTTATGGTGCCAGTAGCCTGAGGGGAAAGACAGGAAGCCAGAAATCATAATTAAGCAGAGCATGTGGGGGTTAACATGTTTGTTATGAAAGCTGCTGTGCCTTCTTCGTATTTGTGCTCCAAACATTAAAAGAGCAAATAAAGTTATTTTCTTACTCTAATGATTTTCATTGTGCCGATAATGTGTCACTCAAGTATGGGTTTGACAATAGCAGGCTTAAAAATGAATGGTATTTAGCCCTGATGGAAGAAGTGGGATTTCACTTTTGTCCTGCTCCATGCACAAATTTTTCAACCACTTTTAAATTATAAAATTCTTTGCTTAAGTCCTTCGTTATGATGGTGAATGACAGGGTCTTTGTTTTAAAAATCTTGCAGTTGAAGACATAGGTAGAGAGTGAGCTGGGGCTGGAAACAGAATCAAAAGTAAAGGGAAAGAAGAGCAAAGAAAAATTGATTTTGGCTGAACATTTCTGCAAAACCCTTGGGGTGTTCTATTTTAGTTCCAGCTTTTGCATTTATCCATTAGCATTTAGTTTCGGACTTCAAGTATGTTTTGAATATATATGCTGAAATCACTGGCAAAACCCAATTAAAAAAGTTTAAAAACAAAAATTATTTTGTAAATATTATTGCAACGCCAGAAGGTTTGAAAGTGTAGAATTACATATGTTTGCTTAGGTTTATTTGCCTCACTTTTTAAGCTTTTATTTTATACATATCACACAGTTGTTTTACCTTGAAAGAGATCAGGTTTTGCTTGGTAACAATAACATCAGCCAGTGGTGCCTGCCTCTCCAAATCTGCTGTGGGCAGAGTTACAGGGATGTTCTCAAAAATGACTGACCACTGAAAAAACCCAAACCAAAATGACTCGCAGTTAGGATAAAATTCTCTTTCTTTCTATATGAGATCAGAGCCAGTCTTAGCAAATCTTCAAAGCCTGACAAGAGAGAGTTTTTTCTTGATGTGACACTTCCTAGAATAAAGTCATAAGCTGAGAAGCCTTCATGAATATGAACTGTAGACATGATTACAGAGAAAGTAAAAATAAATAAAATGTAAAACATAAAATTGAAACCCCAGAAGGTAAAATCATTCTCTATTCTACACAAATTCTACAGGTCACTCATGTTCTGATATGTTTCAATCCAACTTCAGGAATCTGTCTTTATTTGGATCATGTCGGAGTGTTTGTCCTCACCAGACTAACCTCATGTGTGCCGTTAGCAAAGCTCAGAGTAAGCGTGATCAATTTGACCCTGAATGTGTGTGCAATTCACATCAGCCAGATACCTAAAAGGAATTCTCTGCTCATCATGAAAGTACTGGTCCGCTCCCCTCCTTTCCTAACTTAGGCTAATGATGTTTCGGAGAAAAACTACACTTGACTACTAATGAAACAGAAAAGAACAAATTGGCTAATTGCATTTGATGGGAAATTCCTTCATGACCCTACAGGCAACTGATTTAAAGAAGTAAGTGTGCTGTTTAAGCTTGCCCGTTTCCATGTTGCAGAGCAACTGGTGGTGTTATTACTAATATTGAGAGCAGTGAAAGTCCTTGCTCCCCTGTGAACAGAAGAATAATTGGGACGGAGAGGATGGGAAGAATCCAGAGGATTTGTTTTGTTCACAAATTTGTAGGTATCAAAGCAGGAAGAGACACTGGAGTTATCTAGACCAACATTTCCACAAGCATATATTTTTCCCAGAATCTAGCCCCGCATTTAATTTACAAAACCCTGCAGGGGTTGTGAAGGTTGAGGTGCATGCAAGAGACAGCCACAGCCCTGGGAGAACAGCCCTTTTCTCTCATCTAGTGACTGATCCCTGTTTACATATGGAGCTCGCACCACACTTACTCAGCAAAATGCTAACATGCCTCTGCAGCATTCCCACAGCAAGCAGAAAAGCCCAGTATCACAAAAAGACATGACACAGTATATATGTTCCAGCTGTTCCTGACAGTTACCACTCTACTCCCCCCTGCAGACAAACATTTCACTCTCTTTCCATTCACAAGGACAAATTCAGCAAAGTCACAGGGGATAATTCAACCCCTGCTCTTCCTTTCAGTAGCCTGTCCTCACCACACAAATCAGGTCTAATAGAGGAAAGCGTGCAGATCATCAGAGCAACATCATTTGGTGTTGTTTAAACACTTAACTACAAAAATTGGAGCCTGACCACTGGCACAGAACGATGCCGAACCTGTCTGCACTACGCTGAGGAATATATTCTGCCTGAACCCTGCTGCGTACTTGGTCACCCCCAGGCTCTCAGCGGCAGCGGGACCCAACGGTCAGATACCTGCTTTTGAAGCAGGAGCCATTGTGAAAATAAAAAAAGAAAACAGACAGTTGAACGTTGCTGTGGTTTTGCTCCAGGAAGTATATGAACTATGTAAGCTGCATGTGGGTACGGCCTTTATTGTTATGGACAGGGCAGAATCTAATTTTACCAAAAGCTCTCATGGCACATAGGGAGAACTCTGTCAATCCCTTTCAGAAAACAGACCAATGCCCTCTGGCACTAATCTCCTTCGGGAAAGAGCAGCAGACATCCAGCATCTCATAGGAAAGTCTCCCGTTCAGGAAAGTAACTGGTGGAAGAGCTGGCGTTCTGCTGAATAGCGTATTTATTTGCAAATGTACATCTGCCTTTTTCTAAAGTGGGGGTGGTAACAAACAGAGCCCCACTTTGGTAGAAACCTCTGGTCTGGCACTTTTGCCAGAAGACAGGTTTCTCTCTTCTCTGTCATCCATGGAAGCACACAATAAAAATTGCACTTTTGCTACATTTCAGCTTCTGTTTGCAGAC